GAGAGCAGGCGGCGGGCGTGAAGGTACCTCTTTCAGCTTCTTGGCCCAGGGCTTCTGTGCCTTCCGGAAGCCATCCTCGGCCTCCTTGGACTCCTTGAAGCTGCCCATCATCTGCTTGTGGAAGGCCTCCTTCTGCCAATTCTTGACCTTCTCAAAGTCCTCATTCATCAGCGAGGCCTTGACCTCCAGGTGCAGCTCGCTCACCCTCTCCGCCTCCGTCAGGACAGCCATCCAGGCCTTCTCCACGGTGCCGTACTGTGGCCCTGCAGGCGGGAGCAGGGTCACCAGGGCCCTCTCAGCAGGAGGCCGCCTGGTGTTGCTGAGCCTTCTCCCCATGCCCATTGTTCCCTGGGCTCTCCAGGATGAGGGTGGAAGTGGAGCTGAAGCTGACTCCTCCCTGCCCGGGGGGGACAGGAGAGATGGGGGACACTCTCCTTGTCTGTGGTCAAGACCACCACGCTCCTCAAAAAGCCCCATGTCCTCCTTTAGGAAGTTGCAAGCAGCCCTGGGGCACAGTGGGTTAAGGCATCAGGCTGCATGGTCGGCAGTTCAAGCCCAGGAGGTTCTCTGAGGGGGAAAGATGAGGCTGTCTGCTCCCGGGGATTTACAGTCTCGGGGAGAAAAGCCCTTTTCTGTCTGACAGGTTGGAGGAGCTGGCATCAAATCGAAGGCAGGGGGCTGGTTTTGTGGGTTGGATCTGCTCCAGACTGCCCCACAGACCCCTGGCCAGACCTCCCTCCCAAAGCTGGGGCTCCCCTGCAGCACAAGCCCACCCTTCCTTCTACTCCATCCAGCAGACATGAGAGAGCAAGAGATGCTGATGGAATAGCGAAAAAGGGGGCGGCGTCCTCAGGCCTCCTTTGATCAGGGGAGAGCACACCTCATTTCTAGATGGTGTGTGCCGCAGGTCCCTCACCCAGACCGGAACCCCTTCTCCCAGTGGCCTCTTGTTAAAGGAGTGGGGCGGGATAGGGTGAAGGGAGAGAGTGCTCTGTTTGCAGAGGTTCCTGGGATCTGAGAAGGGGCACAGGGCTCGGGGACAGCAGCAGTGAGACCTCAGGCCATGACGACAGGACAGTGTGACCCTGCCCGGCCCAAGTCCGGAGCCTGGTGGGCTGGATGGTAACACCCCACTCTGGAGCGGGGCAGGGGGTGCTGGAGCCCGTGGAGATGTAGTGGTAGCAACCCCTTTCCTGGAAGGGCTGCCGAACCCCACCCCTCACCTCCTGCCCATTCCACGCCCCAACACAAGGCTCGGAGCTGGACCTGTGAGCACCAGCCCAGACGGCCTCAGAGGCAAATACTCCATCCCAGCTCCAGGGCACAGGAGGGCAGCTGGCACAGCCGCCCTGCAGTGGCCTGAGGCCCTGATCTACAGGGGGAACCTGGCCCCACACCCCCCCTGACCCTCTTGTGTGTCTGCTGAAACCCCTTCAATGCTGGGCGGGGTTCTGTGACTGAGCTCTCTGGCAGAAAGGGGCAGAGAGGGGCCAAGGCTCCCCAACACCTGAGGTTCTTCCCTTTAAATTTCAAGACAGAAACCTCACTGCATGCCTCCAGCCAGTCCCAGGCGGCCTCAATGAGTGGCCAAATGCGGAACCAAGGTACTGGGCCTACCCCAGCGGGGCTGACTCACGTGCTGGGTCTTAGGTTAGCTTGTCCCTTAGGGGACAAGGGGGCTGGAACAGGGGGTTTGGCTGCTGTCAGCAGAGGGCAGTCTTCTGTCCCTAAGGGAGAAGGGTGGGCCCCACTCCACCGCTCCCCAACCCACAAGCCCCCCATCCCCACCCTGCCGCCCACATGGGAGAAGGGAAACGGGCCCAGAGCTACTTGGCTTTGAGGGTGCCAGTCGGTGGTGCCTCCTACCCTTGTCCACAAGCTGCCGCCAGCGGCGGGCCCACTCGGTGAGCTGCTGGGCGTAGGCCTTCTCGATGCGTGCCCGTTCATGCAGGCAGCCCATGAGGTCGCTGCACAGCCGGTGGCCATCGTCAATCCGCCTCACCGTCCGCTTGTAGTTCCCCACCTGGACGGAGAACACGCTGTGAGCTCCGGCCCTGGCCCGACCCCCGACAGCCCGTCCACGCCTGGGAGACGGACAGACAGCGCTCGCACACGTACACCCTCCACACCAGCCAGGCTGTGCACTCGCTCACCCTGAGGGTTCTGGCTCCCATTTCCCACCGCCCCCCACCCCGGGGTGCAAAGGCACCCTGCTTGTTAGAGAGAGAGCTTCCTGGGTCTGTTAGGACCAGGAGCCCACAGACCCGCCCCTCAGCACCTCCCAGCCTGCTCTCCAGCAGCCTGTGGCCCGTGTGGGTCCAGAGAGCGTGGGCAAGGGCCAGAGGGAGGCGGGCCCAGCCTCCAGAGTCGGTGACACCTAAGCAGAGGTGGGTAGGTTCAGGATCCGTAACCGTTCTCCAGCCACAGGCTTTCTGGACTAGCCGCGTCTGGGTCACGCCAGGCACGCACACGGGCTTCCAGGGGCCTCACGCTGGACTGAGTCTTTCTGACTCTTGAATGACAGCAGGGACTCACAGACTGATCTATGAACACACACGCACA